ACCACACCCGGTTAATTTTGTATTTTTAGTAGAGACAGGGTTTCTCCATGTTGGTCAGGCTGGTCTTGAACTCCTGACCTCAGGTGATCTGCCTGCTTCGACCTTCCCAAGTGCTGGGATTACAGGCGTGAGCCACCGTGCCCAACCAGAATCATTTTTTTTTTTTAAAGGAGTTCCAGTGTATTTAATAATCTTGATGGGGAATAGTTGACATTCTGATTGCTAATGTTTAAGATGATAGAGGAGGGCCGAGTGCAGTGGCTCACGCCTATAATCCCAGCACTTTGGGAGGTTGGGAGTTTGAGACCAGCCTGACCAATATAGTGAAACCCTGTCTCTACTAAAAATGCAAAAATTAGCCGGGCATGATGGTGCACGCCTGTAATCCAAGCTACTCAGAAGGCTGTGGCAGGAGAATCACTTAAACCTGGAAGGTGTAGGTTGCAGTGAGCTAAGGTTGCCCCATTGCACTCCAGCCTGGGCAACAAGAGCGAAACTCCGTCTCGATTAAAAAAAAATGAGAGAGGAGAGCAGAATCGGAAGTGGTCACCAAACAAGAAGCTGGTGTTTAGTTAATTGCTTACACGATGTGATTTCAGAGGCCATAAAGACTTTCTTATCTCTAAGAATTACCACGGCTCTCTAATGTCTAAAAACTTCATTTCCCTCCTGTTGAAAGCTCTGTTAAAATACAGACCAAACACCCTGTAGGTGTAACACTTTGACTGATATCAATCATCCAGACTTTTGTGGAAGTGTTTTAGATTCCTTTCTGGAAGTAGATTTTGGTAGGGAACAGGAGGATATTGGATACTATGGGACTAAGTAGAGAAGAAAGAAGCATAAGCTTGTCTAAGACACCTTAGGCACCTCACCTGTTTTTCCGTTTTATTGATGATTGGTATGAGAGGAAAAACAAAACCTGGTTTAATAAGAAATGGATTCATAAACGCTTTTTCTACAAATTAACAAACTTCAAGCTTATAGAAAAAGTTATTCCAGTGCAATAAACTCCTACACACTTTTAATCCCCACTTGGTAAAAGCCCCTCTTGTTTCATCCATGTTTCTCCTCCTCTGTTCATTCATGTGCCTGTAGTTTGCTAAGAACTGAGTTTCTATCTGCTGTCACTTCTCTTTAAGCCAGTTTTCTTTAGTATTTCTTGTATAACAGACCTGATGCTGATAAATCCTTTCAATGATTATTTATCTGAAAGTATTTCATTTATCTGAACATATTTGTAATACCTGCTTTAAAGCTCTTATCTGTCGGCCAGGCACAGTAGCACACGTCTGAGAAGGGCAGATGGCTTGAGTCCAGGAATTGGAGAACAGCCTGGGCAACATGGCAAAACCCCATCTCTACTGAAAACACAAAAAATTAGCTTGGCATGGTGGTGTGTGACTGTAGTCCCAGCTACTCAAGAGGCAGAGTTGGGAGGATCACCTGAGCCCGGAGGTCAAGGCTACAGTGAGCTGTGATTGTGCCACTGCACCCCAGCCTGGGTGACAGAGTGAGATTCTGACTCGGAAAAAAAGAAAAAAAAATAAATAAATAAATATAAAGTTCTCACCTGCTAATCCAATATCTGGGTCATTTTGAACTGGTTTTCTATTGACTGCTTTTTCTCGGCTATAACTGCATTGTCCCATTTTTTTTTTCCTCTTTGACTGTGGGTCTCATTTTCTGTTCTGATCTCATTTTCCTGTTCTTCTCAAATTCCTGTAATTTTTGATTGCATATTGGACATCGTGAGTGATACAAAGTCTCTAGATTCTGTTATCTTCCTCTGAAAAGTGCTGATTTTTGTTCTAGCAAGCAAAAATAATTTGGCAAGACTCAAACGGCAATTCCTACGGTAGAAACAGCTGAAAACTGCTCAGTTCTTTCAGCTTTTTTTTTTTTTTTTTGAGATGGAGTCTTGCTCCATCACCAGGCTGGGGTGCAAAGGCGCAATCTCGGCTCACTGCAACCTCAGACTCTTTAGCGATTTGCTTCCTGCCAGGCTCCTGAGAGACTATAGATGCATAGTTCAAGGATCAGCCAAAGACTTGCCCAAATTTACATGCAGTTCTTCTGTGGTTCACTTCTTTCTGGGATGTCCCTGTCACTCCAGAGTCCCTGAGTGCTGACCTCAGACTCCTCCACCCATAGGACTGTGGCTTTCTGCCTGTGTTCTTCCACAGTCCTGAGCTGTGGACTGGGAAATGTCTTCAGGCAAAAAACCATAGAAATGAGAATCTCAACTGGTAACCTTTCAAGGGTCTTCTTCCTTCTGGTTTGTCTGCGTGGTGTTACCTCCAAATAGTTGTTTTTAAAAATATTTTGTCCTGAACTCACTGTCACTATCTCCAAGAGTCAGTGTGACACGACTACCTCTGCCATTACCAGCAGAGACTACCCTTTTAAAAAACACCCAAAAATCACCACTATAAACTATTACAAGTAAGTTAATTAATTCAAGTAGTTACTGAGCACTTACTTTGGGCTAGTTACTATGCCAATACTAGGTACTAGAAATCTGTTCAGTTATAAAGAATTATATTAAAGTCAACTTGAATGGGCCTAGTTCTTTAGACCTCAAAATAAATACATTATTCAGAGACATTACAATCCCTTCCCCCTACCCACTGAAAAGGAATAACATGCATGTTTACTTGGTTTCTCATAGGCATTTTACACTTATGTGGTTCACTTTCTCAAGAAATTCTGATTGCTGAGCCCAAAAGCATTTGCAGTTAACGCCAAATCAGTTATAGTTAAAAATTCTCAATTTTCTTTGGCTAGCTTAAAATTTGTCAAAGCATATATTCATAAAACCCCAGAGATAGAACACTCTTTGCTAACAGTAAGACCTTTGTCACATCTCCATTTGAAAAAAGGCAACTCTGGAGCTAGAAACATCACTCTGAAAGAGGTGAAAGCATAGTGCTCCTTCAGCATCAAAACTGGGGCCTGGGCGGGGCCTCCCCTTTGACTTTCCCAACTTCCTATCTGGATTGTGGAATGATACTCACCTCCACAAATGGTTTTAGTTTCTTACTATATCTAAATAAAATAAAGGTAAGGCTGGGCTCGGTGGCTCATGCCTGTAATTTCAGCACTTTGGGAGGTGGAAGTGGGTGGATCACCTGAGGTCAGGAATTGGAGACCAGCCTGGCCAACACAGTGAAACCCCATCTCTATGAAAACTACAAAAGTTAGCCAGGCATGGTGGTACATTCCAGTAATCCCAGCTACTCAGGAGGCTGAGGCAGGAGAATCGCTTGAACCCAGGAGGCAGAGCTTGCAGTGAACTGAGATTATGCCCACGTACTCCAGCCTAGGTGACAGAGTGAGACTCTGACTCAAATAAATTAAATAAAGGTAGAGTTTCATTGATATAAGGTCCAATGCTGAATGCCACTTATTTAGGGTTAGAGGTCAAAGAAGGCTTGCATTTCTGCTGTGGGAGTGTATAGGGTTCACCACCTTAGTTCTCACTGAGTTCCTCATTCCCACTCTTAAATCTTCAAGACCTGTCTCACTCATACAGGCATATGGGAGGATAAAGAGGGATGTAAAAAAGAGAGGTAGGACATTTTTCTTTCCCTCTTTATACCTTGGTCTAAGTTTGGCTCTGGCTTCATTAGGGAGCCACGTGGGAAATACACTCACTGAGCTCCTGCTCCCACCCTCTGGTCCTATTTTGAACATGTTGGAGGTTGTTCAGTGTCCTCTTTCCATTGGTTTTCTAGCATCTACTCTGCTGTTAGAATAGCCTATGGAAGAGAATCACATATAGCAAGCAAAGGAGCACTCCAGAACCAACCACTGAATGAATTACTTGGCTCTATACAATGTTCTTTTGTTCCTTCTCCCTTTGTTTTCTAGGTTAAATTTATTCTTGTATCATCTTAACATCTGAAACTACTTTTTATTACTATTTTATCTTATTTCTAGTGAACACTTAAAATACTTCTGATGTTACAGCAGTTTTACCATAAACCTTGCATGTCATTTTCCGATGAATCATGAATAACTCAACCAGACACAGCGTGAGGTCAACAGCAAACATCTGTGCCCTTGGAGGCAGCCTTCTCCCCTTTGCGCAGCTGGCTGGCATCAGCTAAACAGCCAGTTACTTAACACACTCAAGCTGTGCACCAGGGCAGGCTGACCAGTGCTTACTACCGAGTATCTTACACATTAAAAAGGGAAGATGAAACCAGAAAAAGAACACAAGGGTTAATTACTAGCTTATTAGTCGTTCCATTTTTCTTCCAAAGAAAACAGTTCCGTTGAGTCTCAGGTGGATGTGGGTAGAAGCAGGACAGCCAGGCAGCACAGCTTTGAAGTGTGGCTCCAGGGCTTGTGCTCTCCCCAGTTCAGCTGTTGAAGCAAGGAAGACTTCAAAGCCGGTTTGCTGTTGTTCCTGCCAGTGGGGTGTGTGCAATTCCCATCAGTTTGCTTTAAGGAAAAATCAGAGAGGAATTCATCTTCCCACTTGCCAGGGTTTGATGCTCACCAAACAATCTACTAGAATTTGTAGTTATGACTGTCTCTATCTAGTGGACACAAAGAAATCATTTCATTGTGAGGCTTATATTTATTTATGTACATTAATTGTATAAATCTGATAGCCAGTTTGTGTAATTTGTCCAGATTGTGCCATGTCAGTGACAAGGAAACCACTCCAGCTGCTGATTAAATTCACTGCTCATGGATATATACAGGAGTTCTAGGCAGAGGAGAGTTTAGAAGACTGTCCCCTTGCTGCTCTGCTACTCCAGACCATAATTACAACTGTTTATAATCCTTTAGTCAGATTTAAATTCTACATATAGGCAGTATACTCAAACTCCTTTGTGAGTTAAAAAGAATTATTCTATTTGATCAATTCACCTTGTAAAATATATTTTTGTACAATATATTTGTTCAAAAATGTTTTTGAACAACACATTTTTTAAAGTAAATGCCATTTCCCCGAATGATTTTATCTGGTCTAAACCTTGATTTTTATTTAAAATACGTATGACACTTTACAATAATAAAGGGAAAAAGATATAATACTTGAAGTCATTAACTTTTTTGTGTGTGTGAGATGAAGTCTTGCTCTGTTGCCTAAGCTGGAGTGTAGTGGAACGATCTTGGCTCACTGCAACCTCCACCTCTCGGGTTTAAGAAATTCTCCTGCCTCAGCTTCCCAAGTAGCTGGGATTACAGGTACGTGCCACCACACCTGGCTAATTTTTGTATTTCTAGTAGAGACAGAGTTTCACCATATTGGCCAGGCTGGTCTCAAACTCCTGACCTCGTGATCCTCCCACCTCAGCCTACCAAAGTGCTAGGATTACAGGTGTGAGCCACTGTACCCGGCCAACTCTTATAATTGAAAATAGCTCTAGTTCAAAAACAGATTCTTTGAGATACATGGACAATTAAACTTCCCCACCACTATCCAGTCAGCTTTTATTTAAATAAATATGAAACATTAGGTAAAAACAGAATGGGAAAAGATATGAGGCTCTTTGGGAAAGCTTAGCATGCTAAAAATGCAGAAGTAACCAGACAGCAACATTCACCAGTGGCAGCAGTAACGCCTCGCCACTGGTAGCACTACTACCGCAGAGTTGCAAACACCAATACAGAGGCATCCATTCATTCAACAGCAGGGCCCCAGTATGACCTAAAATAGAGCTACCTGGTGGAAATGAAAGTCCTCAAGCATAATTAATAAGGAAAAAAATCTAGTTACAGAAAGCTTTTAAAATTATCACAGGAATATGCATCATGATGTAGAAAGGACAGTCTACCATACAAGTTCTGAAGAAGCAAAGACTATCAATTAAAAAGCTGTCAACAGCATATTCAGGAGGCTGAGGCAAAAGAATCACTTAAACCCAAGAGGCGGAAGCTGCAGCGAGCTGAGACTGCACTCCAGCCTGGGCGACAATGAGAGACTCAGACTCAAAAAAGAAAAAAAAAACCACACAAACAACTGTTAACAACAATAACAAATTAATGTTATTGATATCACACTTACCACAGAATATAATGAAAGGAAGTTATTTCAATGGCTGCATTTTTATTTTTTAATATTGCAAAATGTTCTAATCACAACAAATTAATCTGTTATTGATATCACACTTATCACAGAATATAATCAAAGAGGAAGTTATTCCAATGGCTGCATTTTTATTTTTTAATATTGCAAAATGTTCTAATCACAGTGGCATAAACTCCAGGATTCCCGCTTCCCAAGATATGTTTTTATTTCTGATTGTATCCTGAAGGAATCAGAGGTCTTTGCAAGGTGAAGTCACCATCACTGGTTACATAGATCCTTGATATGTGCAGGCTTTCTGTATCAAGGTCTTCTGAGCCATCTGTATTTACCTAACAATGACTTGGAGATGCAATTTAAAAAAGCAAAACGCACAAACCGTTGGGAAAAAGTCACAAGTAAAATAATTTTATGCAGACAGAAGTTGTTTTTAAAGCTGTTCATGATTTAGTAGAAAGAATTAGGAGCTTGCAACAATTACTTATGTTGCTCATTTTCTGAGGTTTCATTCCAACGAGAGCTGCACACTGTCAGCCTGGTTTTGTGGTTGCTGACAGTCGTACTTCCTTGCTATTCACAAAAATAACAAGAAAAAGAGGTAACATTAATAAAACTGCAAAATGATTACTACCTAACATCATTAAATTATAGTAAAGTCATAGTTTCAATAAAGAATTAGTTTATGTTTGTTTGTTTTAGAGATAGAGTCTCACTCTGATGCCCAGGGCTGCAGTGCAGGGGCACCATCACAGCTCACTGCAGCCTCAACATCTTGGGCTCAAGCAATCCTCCCACCTCAATTCTCAAGTAGCTGGGACCACAGACAGACACCACCACATCCAGCTAATTTTTTATTTTTTTTGCAAAGATAAGATCTCGCCACGTTGCCTAAGCTGGTCTTGAACTCCTGGCCTCAAGTGATCCTCTCACCTCAGCTTCTTAAAGTGCTGCAATTACAGGTGTAAGCCACTGTGCCCAGCTAAGTAATTAGTTTTCTATCTTTCCATCAAAAACAAAAAACCAAAACTGTGGGTTTATAATTGTTTCCGCTGTGTTACTGAGCATATTACTGACAACAGACAACTTGTTTTGCATAAGTATCAACAAAAACTTATTCTAATTTTTCAGAGCTCCTGGCTCTGTATGTATGTATGTTATGTATATATGTATGTATGTATATATGTATGTATGTATATATGTATGTATGTAACTATGTATGTATGTATTTGTCAGATGAAGTTTCGCTCTTGTCCCCCAGGCTGGAGTGCAATGGTGCAATCTTGGCTCACTGCAACCTGTCTCCTGGGCTCCAGCGATTCTCCTGCTTCAGCCTCCCGAGTAGCTGGGATTACAGGTATGTGCCACCATCCCTGGCTAAGTTTTGTATTTTTAGTAGAGACAGGGTTTCACCATGTTGGCCAGGCTGGTCTCGAACTCCTGACCTCAAGTGATCTGCCTGCCACGGCCTCCCAAAATGCTAGGATTGCAGGTGTGAGCCACCATGCCCGGCCCCATGCTCTGAATTTTTTTTTTTTTAACAATACTTATTTTTTTAAAAGGATGTTTTTTAATGTGGTAAAATATACGTAACATAAACTTTACCATTTTAACAATTTGTAAGTGTAGAGTTCAGTGGCATTACATACATTCATGTTGCTGTGACCATCACTATCATCCAACCACAGAGCTGTTCTCATCCCTAACTGAACTCTGGACCCAATAAACTCCCTATTCCCCTCTTCTGCAGCCCCTGGCAACCACCACTCTACTTTGAGTCTCTATGATTTCCCTCACATAAGTGAAATAATCCAATATTTGTCCTGTTGCGATTGGCTTATTTCACTTAGCATACTGTCTTCAAAGTTCTTCCATGTGTAGCAGCATATCAGAATGTCCTTCCTTTTAAGGGCTGAATAACATTCTAACGTATGTACCATACTTTGTTTATTCATTCATCTGTTGAGGACATGAGGGTGATTTCCACCTTTTGGCTATTGTGAATAATGCTGCCATGTTGAATTAAGTTATATGTCTTATTTTGAGCCAGTAACAAATGAAATGGTGTAAAATACAAAAAGAACAAAGGATATCTGAAAAACGTATTAAAAATCTGAAAATAGTACTAGGTTATCTTTTTTTTTTTTTTTTGAGATAGAGTCATATTCTGTCGCCCAGGCTGAAGTGCAGTGGCGCGATCTTGGCTCACTGCTACCTCTGCTGCCTGGGTTCAAGCGATTCTCCTGACTCAGTCTCCTGAGTAGTTGGGATTACAGGCACCTGCCACCGCACCTGGCTATTAAGTTTCATTACTTACAATTTTTAATAACCTTTTGCTAAATGAACTCAATTCCAGAAAATCTATTTTAAACATGTATATGCATATCTTTCAGTACAGAATATACTTACAAATGGAATACATTTCCAGTTGTTGTCTTAAACGAATCTTGCTTATCGTGTCATAGAAGTTGGGCTCTGACAAAGTTTCTTCTGTAGGTGGCACGCTGAATATCCTCATAATTCTCCTTTTGTTCCTAAAACACAAAATCCATGCAGAAGAGATATTTGTATTAATGTCATGTTGTAATATGCTCATGATCCTGGTCATCAGAAGCTATGGTTAAAGGACTTAAATGACAAGCCCATTTTACTTTCCATTTTGTCTTTGGGAGCTGCTTCCTTAGCTCAAAGTATTTTTTCTTTTGCTAAAAAGTATGAGGCTGTAAGTGAGAAAAGTAAGTAGCTGAACACATCCATTTAACACAACAAAGTGAAGTTCCTCCAACTGTGATTCTCCTCAATCACCCAAAAGCCAAATATCCTAAGAGAAAATCAGAAACAAGAAAATAGCTGATTTTTCCTCCCTCTCATGTCATCCAGATAAAGCTAAATTACTGCCCTGGAGAATAAACTGAATGTGAGCAGAACTTAATTTTGGAAAGTAATGAATAAACATATTTCTTAAATACAATAGCATGGCCGTAGTGGAGACATCTTTTTAAAATTAAGAACAGCATGCCTCCGCTTTTAAAAGAAACGTGGGAAGGTGGCAGCGGCTGTTTTTAGAGGAAAGCGGTCACCAGCCCGGTGATCAGTGATGGTCAGGGAGCCTCCTCTCACCAGCCCGAGTTCAGGAGCCCACAGGCCAGCAGCCCCAGGAGGGTTCAGCTGAGATCTGGGCACAAGTGCGGGCTCTGAACAATTCCTCAGACCAAACTTAAATTATTTCTGGATTACTAATTACCTTGAACTCTCTAATGCCTTTTTACATTGGGAAAGGATACCTGTATGCAAGTATCTGCAGAACCAACGCAATCTAACACTGCTCTTCCTCTTTAAAGCCTCCCCGTACCACCCCCTTTTTACTGTACTTCTGGGAAAGGAGCCAGGGAGTGTGGAAAACCAGTTAAATTAAGCTACAACATCTGGAATTAAGGCAGGAAATAATATTTATTGAAGATCTACACTACGTGGCACATCAAGGACCCAAAGGTAAAAGACAAAAAAGACGTGGTGGAATGGACAAGTCATCAGGTAAGACTAACACTGTTTAATAAGTGCTATGATACAGTCATGCACAAAAAAAACAAGGAAAAGCTTATACTGGCTGAAGGGAGATTTCCTAAGACATAGGAGTCAGTGTTTCTACATTCAGGGACTTAAGCCAAAAAAATGTGCTCAATGAAGGGTGACAATGTTATCATCCCAGGCTAGATGATAAAATTGGGCTATATTAGAAATTACAAAATTAAGAGTTTAGAGCAGCTGGCCTGGGGGCTGAGAGCTGTACTTAAGTCTCCATTTCTTAAAGCAATGGGTTTGTTTTTTCTTGAAATGGAGTCTTACTTTGTCGCCCAGGCTGGAGTGCAGTGTCACAATCTCAGCTCACTCCATCCTCCTCCCAGGTTCAAGCAATTCTTCCGCCTCCACCTCCTGAGTAGCTAGTGTTACAGGCTCATGCCATCACGCCCAGCTAATTGTATTTTTAGTAGAGATGGGGTTTCACCATGTTGACCAGGCTGGTCCTGAACTCCTGACCTCAGGTGATTCACCTGCCTTGGCCTCTCAAAATGATGGGAATACAGGTGTGAGCCACCATGCCCTGCCAGCAATGAGGTTTTCAGAGTCAAACCTTGGCCACCAATGCTTGAGATCACAGTAGACCATGTCTTTCAGCACTAGAACAAAAATGATAAATTTTTTTTTTTTTCAGATGGAGTCTCATTCTGTTGCCAGGCTGGAGTGCAGTGGCGCAGTCTGGGCTCACTGCAACCTCCGACTCCCTGGTTCAAGCAATTCTCCTGCCTCAGCCTCCTGAGTAGCTGGGATTACAGGCACACGCCACCACACCCAGCTAATTTTTGTATTTTTCGTAGAGACGGGGTTTCACCATGTTGGCCAGGAAGTTCTTAATCTCCTGACCTCATGATCTGCCCGCCTCAGCCTCCCAAAATGCTGGGATTACAGGCGTGAGCCACCTCGCCTGGCCTGATGAAATTATTTTTATGCATTCATTTCTTATTTCTTCAACTTGCAAAACTTGTAAATGCACAGTTTTTATCTACCCTGAGAAACAAAAATTTACCTTTTGGCATACATGAAGAGACCGAAGCTAACAAGGATAACTATCAAGTAAACGTTGGTGGCTTCATTCCAGGCTTCGTGAACAGTATAATCAATAGAACCATCGTCACCCATCACTCCATAACCCCCAGCCATGGGGCTGTAAGAGAGAAAAGAAGGCAAGGTTTCTTTTAATTAATGATGGTAACACTGTCTGGGGAAGGGCTGGCAAACATATGGCCTGCTGGCCAAATCCAGTCCACCACCTGTTTGTGTGCGGCCCATGAGCCAAGAATGGGATTTACATTTCTAAATGGCACATTTAAATGGTGCAGTTGGCCCTCTATATCTGAGGGTTCTGCATCCAAATAATCAACAAACTGTGGATGGAAAGTATTTGGAAAAAAATACATATAAAATTTTAAAAGTACATTACACCAGCTATTTACATAACATTTACATTGTATTAGGTATTATAAATGCTTAGAGATGATTTAGAGTATACAGAGGATGTGTTTAGGTTATATGCAAATACTACGCCATTTTATATCAGGACTTGGACATCCATGGATTTTGATTATCGGACGGGGTCCTGGCACCAATCTCCCAAATACCAAGGAATGACTGCACCTACACAATATCGATTTTGTTTCACAGCCCACAAAACCTAAAATATTTACAATCTGGCCCTTTAAGAAAAAGTTTAAGGCTGGGCGTGGTGGCTCACGCCTATAATCCCAGCACTTTTGGAGTACAGGACGGGTGGATCAAGTGGTCAGGAGATTGAGACCATCCTGGCCAACGTGAAGATCCATCTCTAATAAAAATGCAAACGTTAGCTGGGTGTGGTGGCTCAAGCCTGTAATCTCAGCTTCTCAGGAGGCTGAAGCAGGAGAATTGCTTAAACTCAGGAGGCAGAGATTGCAGTGAGCCAAGATTGTACCACTGTACTCCTGCCTGGCGACAGGGCAAGACTGTTTCAAAAAGAAAAGAAAAGAAAAAGTTTAACAATCAGAGGGCTACATAGTTAGGGCACATTATGCATTTCCCCTTATGTTTGACTTTGACAGCTCCTACAGAATGGTTAAAATTTGGGATATAAAATAATATTATGAAAAGGACAGAGCTTGAAATGTTATTGCAGTTTCCAAAGTGTAACACCCAGAGGAAAGCAACAGAATACTTTAGAGACTTGGTCAGGCATAGTGGCACACGCCTATGATCCCAAAACTCAAGGAGGCTGAGGCGGGCGGATCACCTGAGGTCAGGAGTTCAAGACCAGTCTGGCTAACATGGTGAAACCCTGTCTCTACTAAAAATACAAAAATTAGCTGGGCATGATGGTGGGTGCCTATAATCCCAGCTACTTGGCAGCTAAGGCAGAAGAACTGAAGCTGAGAGATGGAGATTACAGTGAGCCGAGATTGTGCCGTTGCACTGCAGCCTGGGCAACAGAGCGAGACTCCACCTCAAAACAAACAAACAAAACACAGAGGCTCAACACCTGGCATAGCAGCCTAGCAAAAATGTGACAGCCAGAACATGGCTCTCTCACCCCCCATGCCTCCCACACTGGAAAACGTTTGGAGCTTTATCTAGTTTTGGCCTCCTGGCCAAATTTGGTTGAAAGCAGCTATGGGATGAAAAGACACATTTTGCTATTGACACAGCTGTGACATCTACCCTAGGAAAAGCATTCTTTGGACATTCCCACAGAAAGTTAGAGTGGTCACAGCAAGTGCATCAAACACCAAGTAAAAGTAATGACTTCGTATTTGTGTTTGAGAAGCTAACTGAATTTTTCCTTAAAGAGAAAGTTCCTATTTTGTGTTGGGACATAAAAGGTAAGTCTAAGTAAAATGACCTAATACATAAAGAAAATCCAGAAGTGTTGCTTTAGACAGTCTATATACAAGAGAAAAATGGACAAATATAGGTGATAACTGCACAGTAGTGAGTCTAAAAAGTTGCTTGGCGATTTTTTCTACACTGCCTACTACAATGAAGGGATTACAAAAATTCATCCACTAAAACGGCTTGCAGGAGTCCAAGCTGTGAGCCTCCAGTGTTCATCAGTGTGGATTTGGCCAGGTAGTTAATATGCACGTATTGAGGGCGGAGTTCGTTCTTCTAGTTTTGCCTCTATATAAAAAGAATAAAATTTCAGGAGAGGTCTATTCCTAAGCCACGTGGCATGTTTCTGCCTTTCTGACAACTTGTCTTTGTCAGATGTTTATAGGCATACTGGACTCCTTTAGAATAAAGTGAGTATCATGAACAGCCATTTAACTTAAACTCTTCCCACTGAGGGCAGGAGTGATTTCACTGAAGTAACTATTGGTGTCTGTTGAATATAAAGACTGGTCTCGTGAAAATTAGCCAGGCAACAATAAAAACAGAACTTAAATTGTAAAAATTTGTAGAATGCAATATCTAAATATTATTTAAACACTAGACTATACCCAATTCCTAGATACTGAAGACTGGCTGTGGATCTTTTGGAGAGGTATTTGGCATATTGACAGTTTCAATTCTTACTCCTCAAAACTAAATTCTAGAGTTCCTCTCAATGTAACTTTATGGTTTATAGTAAGTAATCAGCCTACTTTAGACATGGAAACTTTTGGAAGCCCAGACACTATAACTGTCTTTATAATTTATGGAATCTCAAACTTCATTGGTGCCAAAGAGTAAAATAGCAACAACCACCACCGTGTTTGGCAAAAATAAGATGACTTTATGAGTCTGATTTGAGATGCTCCAGAAGGCTCAGGACAATTATGCAGCAAGGGAAGCAGCTTTCAGGATTGGGACTTATTAACAAATTAGGCAAGAAACAGGGAGCCATACAGCACTGGCCACTAGAACATTTCACGGGTGCCATTTATCTGACAAATTACAAAATGCTTCCTATTTTCTAGTGACAAAATGGATCTGAACCAGGTTAATTTCTTGATGTAATTTTTCACACGTTTCTGTTCATGTGCCACTCAGTAAATGGTACATTCCTACCCAAAGCGTGATTTCCTCCTGCCTCAAATATGCAGGCCTTTAATTACACCTAGGAAAAAATTTCTAATTACTGCCGACACAGAATGGTAAAATTTTAACGTGAATTATACAACCTATATTATACAACATGATTGGTATGTCATGAGGTCACTCTTCCGTGCTTTCAGGGACAGGCACTTGAGTTATTTTTAGGAGTGTAGTTGTGAAAGATTTACTGGGGGGAGGCCTTTACCACCCAGTCCTCAGTCATGACCAATGGCATGACTTGGTAAGGCTGCCAGGAGTAAGGAATGGTCTGATCCTGAGTCACAGGACAGACCCATGGCCCACACGCAGCCTGAACTATGACCCCGTCCCCTCCTCCCCGGCATGTCACAGTGTAACCAAGTGTACATATATACACCTGTTGCCTGCTTACTGCATATCACCACAGCGTTCCTTGGGAATCTAAAGCAAAACACCTTTTTTCGCATTTTCCTGTGATGTAACGCTTGAACTATTTTAGCAAGGAGAGGCTACGATGGGCTGAATTAAGTCCCAAATAAACATGAGTATCTAATGTCACCAATATATGACAACTAGGGGTTGGTTTTAGGTTGACAAACTTTTAAGATGAGACCCACTTTTCCTTTTTATAGAAACAGGGTCTTGCTCTGTCACCCAGGCTGGAGGGCAGTGGTGCGATCTCGGCTTACTGCAGCTTCGACCTCCCGGAATCAAGCAATTCTTGTCTCAGCCTCCCAAGTGGTTGGGAATACAGGTGAATGCTACCAGGTCCGGCTATTCTTTAGTGTTTTTTTTTTTTTTTTTTTTTTTTTTAAGACGGGAAGGGTGGAGGTTACGTTCGTCTCACTATACTGCCCAGCCTGGTCTCGAGATCCTGAGCTCAGGCAATCAGCCACCTCAGCCTCACAAAGTGCTGGGATTACAGGCGTTGAGCCACCATGCGCAGCTGAGAGCTACTTTTTCTAGGGACTAAGTGAATGTATCAAAAGCTTTAAAATCTGTGTCGTGATTTTGGGAACCTGATGCCATGTCTAGGTGGTTCTAAAATTGATCACCGCTTGTCATCGTGCCTTGAATGTTAATCATTGTCTCTCGCTTAGAACTTTGTGAATACATTGGAACCACTTAGTTCCCAGAGTCCCTTACAACAAAATCCCCTGCATCAATAAATGGGATTTCCTTCTCTCATCCCTCTGAAACACTAAAGGCTTGGGATCCTGAAGCAGAAGGGCACACGCTCACAGGCCTTCACCCAACATCGAGGAAAGCAATTCACATGTGCTGGGCAGTCAACAGAGTCACTGAATTATCCCAACAACCCTGCTGGGCGGCACTAAAGCTCCATTTCACAGGAGAAGAAACTGGGCTGACGGCAGTGGTTATATAACTTGCCCAAAGCCACACGGCCCAGGGCGTGGAGGCGCGGAGCTGTTACAAACACGACTCCCAAACCTGAACTCTTCCAGCTTATGGCCCGATCCTGAGAGACCCGCTCCTGCCGGAAGAAAGTCAAGTGGAGCGGAGAGAAGATGCAATCCTCTCCCAGGAAGCGGCCCGGGCCCGGGGCGGCTAGGCTCTGGGACGTTTCTGCCGCCCGCAGGCTGCGCGTGATTCAGCCTCAACCCTCCCGCTGAGCCCTAGCCGCCCTGGCAGATGGGCCGAAGCGACTGGCCCGTGCGCGCTTCCGGAAGCGGGCGCCTGGCTGCTCCCCGCGAAGCTGAGGGGCTCCGCGCTCGGGACAAGCAGGTGCTCGGAGCGTCGGGCACCGCGCGGGATTGGGGGCGGGCAGCGACCTCCTTCCACCCGCGTCCGGGGCGGAGCGGGGCGGGGCCGGGTGACGCGGCCCCGTCGGGGACCGGGAGGCGCGGGGACGCGGGGCCACTCACGCTGCCGGCTCCGGAGGCGGCACGCGGCCAGTGCTACTCCGCTCCGGGGCTCTTTCCCCCGGGGTCGGGGCCGGGCGCGCGGGAAACGGTTACCGAGCGGACCTGGACGCCCTCTGCCTTCGTCATTTCCTGCCGGCCGGTCGGTTTCCGGATGAAACGAGGAGCCAGGTCTTTTTTTTTTTTTTTTTTTTTTTTTCCCCTTTCCCCTTTTCAGTTTTTTGAGTCGGAGAAACGCCGCGGCTGCACCGGTGCCGCCCCCGGGCGCGTGAGTGGAGCCGGGCTCACTTCCCCTCCCCCGCCGCGACCCCCGCTTAGGTCGTGCGCGCCGCCCCCTGCGAGCCCACGGGCCGGACTCACAAGCTCCCGCGGGTGGGGGGCGGGCGCCGGCGGGGCTCGCGGTAGCGGCGGGTCGCGTCCCCCGCGCTTGCTGGCCCACGTGGACCTGGCAGTCGCGTGCAGTGCGGCGCCTTTGCGAAAACCCGGCGGAAGTGGCGGGGACTCGGCTTTACCTGCGAGTGCAGTGCGCCTCCCGCTCGGCTGTGCGCGCGAGGGGTGGGACTCTGCGTGGGAGGGGTCGTGTGCGTTGTCCCACCAGGCGCGTTGAAGCCGGGCAGCACAGAGGATTTCTTTTTTGATCTAGAGGGCATAGAGTCCCTTTTCATATTCACGTGTACTCTTAAGAAAGCGTCTGTTTTCCAAACTGGCTTTCCATTCTCCCCGTCCTGAATGGTGCGTGGCTGACACCGTAGTGTTTTAAAAACTGGAAGTGGCCAGGATGCTATAGCATTGTCAATGTAAGTGCCTTTTGGGTATTTTTATTTAATTGTGTAGTGACGTGACAGAAGTGTTTCCCAGCTTGACACAGGTAATGAATTTGCGTAGGATTTCAGCAGCAGTATGGAAATGATGAGATGTCGGTGGTTGGTGCCACTTTGCAAATAAATGGCCACTGGTCCACGTGCTTCAAGTATTAACTATACAATTTGAGTAAGTTCTCTAGGACCAGCTGACTGTTATTTATAAGTCATGAAACCCTGCAGAAATGAGCACTGACATTGAACACTTAAATTTTCTGTCCTTTGTGGGTCATCTGTTATAATTAAACTCACCTTTGTCTAGATTAAGACCATTATGCAATAACATACTAGCTTAATTTATAGTATATATATTTATGTATATTATATATACGTAATCACATATATAATTGTATAGCGTTTAGTTTGATTCTGAAGTAGGAAAATAACAAGCAATGTTGAGTACTGATTGTTTGCCGGGCCTGTGCCAAATGGTGTGCTTGTTTTATGTCACTTAATAGCAAAAAATTTGAATACGTGAGTTTGATTTCAGTGTGTCCAAATGTGAAACGTGTACATTATTGTTTTGTTTCGCTTTTGTTGCCCCGGCTGGAGTGCACTGGCACTATCTCGGTTCACTGCAACCTCCGCCTCCCGGGTTCAAGTGATTGTCCTGCCTCACCCTCCCAAGTAGCTGGGATTACAGACGCCCGGCAACAAGCCCAGCTAATTTTTGTATTTTTAGTAGAGACGGGGTTTTACCATGTTGGCCAGGCTAGTATCGAATTCCTGACCCTAGGTGATCCTCCTGCCTCAGCCTCCCAAATTGTTGGGATTTCAGGCGTGAGCCCCCACGCCCATCAAACGTGTACATTAAATGCTTGTTTCTGCTTTTGTAAAATAAGAGTGTTGGCAATATAAAATGACCCATACAGTAAATTAATGTGCTTTTCAATTTGGAAGATGGCTTTACAAATTCATAGAACTACAGTTAGTCCCTTTATTTAGGTGCTGAATAGTTTCCAAAGCCCCTTGTCTTACTTATCCAAGTTTCCATTATGTAACATTGTCACCTAGTGAACTGGCTATGCTAGGACATTGGAAAAAGGTAAATATTGAGAAAGCCCTAATGGCCTCCCTTTCCATATTTAATTTCTAAGTGACAGTCTTAATTAAGGGTAAACAAACATGAAACAAGGCTAATTTTCCAATACCAAACTAAAGAAATAAAAAACAGTGGGCTGTCTGTTACTTTGTTGATGAGTCTAGCACAATTTTACTGGGCATTTGAATGTTAAGGATGTTATTTACATTGTAGGTAGTTGTGAAAGATCTGTGTGCCTGTTTTTAGTTTGCCTTTAAATGTGTTGAACATATGCTTACTATTGAGTCCAGTACTTTGTGCATTAATAAGTTTTTGATTGGATTTAATTGAATAGTTTTGGCTTCCTTAATAAGTTTGTTTTGAAGATAGAATTTAATGATTTGTGTAGGCATAACAGTTCCAAATAACAATGATTCTGAGATGAGCGTAGGGTCTAACAGTTCAAATCTTGTTGGGTGTTGAAAGGACTGGAGAGTTGGAGGTGTGTCTTTGTGATTAAAAAAGCATACTGGAACTTAGCTATCAGATGGTTCTGGTGGTCCATCTTTGGGAAGAGGAAAAGATGAAGAATGCTTTGCTAGTCAGTATTTACAAGAGGGGTTCTTAAAGGCATTCTCTTTGGGGAGGGGAGGATTTGGGAGTTGTCATCAATACAAGGATCTTAAAAAAAGACATACATGTTTTTCTTTTGGAGTGAATTTGTGACTGATTCTTGTTACCACATGCATCTTCAGGCACTTTCCCAACTTTGATATTTATGGGCAGATACTGGTAAATGAAGTAAAGAAGGGGGGAAAAGTGGGGCTGGGTAGGTGGGGAGGAAAGCATGCCTTATTAGGTTTTCATTTGGGCAAAGTTTAGAAACTGCACCTCCACAGGCCTCTGTTACAAAAACCACTCCAATAACATTGTATGCATTTGTAAATCTCTTATGTGTTATTCGTGTGAAGAAATATGGAGAATATCCTTTTATGTGCTTTTTAAAGATGGAACTGATTTAGAATACAATATATTACAGTACGTGAAAAAATTCAAAAATTTTTTGTCATTTTTGGAAAACCATAGTGAGTATAATAACAATATTGGCTCCTGTTCATAAGGCATTAAATGGTTTCCTATGACAGGAAGACAGTCCTCTCTCAATCCTTCAAAATTTGGCTCTAGATGGGGTGCCCTTTAAGCTCCCTGAATCGGGGGACTTTTTTTGTCTCACTCATTGTTTTTTCCCTGGGGCCTAGAACAGAATCTGGCACACGGAGAGGGCTACGTTAACCTTTGCAGAGTGAGCACCTTTCCTGGGGAATCCTCTTTCCACTTTCCGGTAGTGAAGATCACACCTGCCTTTAGGTGAGGGCCCCTCCAGCCTGACTTTCTCTGCACAGCCTGCAGCCCACAATGACTCTTTGAACGTTAACTGCGTATACCACACTCTGTGGCAGTTAATCTTTTATAGCTTTATATTGTTACCTGAGTGTTTCATGTATTTTGTTTCCTCGCCCAAAATATAAGCCCTTCAAGGTTTGGGGATGTCCTATTTTTGAAAATTGCTTTGGTATCCAGTATAATATATATGTATATATACAGAGTAGGTTTACATTTACCTATTGAATGAATGTTGCATACCATGGGGAAACATCAAAGATATTCAAAATGGTAGGTAATGTTTTCGTTAGGCAAACCTAGTGTACATGTGAAACAGTACTAGATTTTGGAGCTAAATAAGACTTAATATTTATGCCATGCTAAAGTACAACGATCCTTTGAAGTAGGTACAATTATTTTCTCATTTTTCAGAGGGAAAAATGGAGACACAGCAAAGTAATTAAGTTTCTTGCTCAAGATCGTACTGGAAGTCATAATTAGGCAGTCTGGCTCCAGACCCAGTGTGGTTTCTCTGGGGAGATTTACTTTATACATCGAAGAGAGATCTAAGCACTACTCTAGCAGCTGTAAGAGATGCTCTTTTAAAAATTTCAAAGTAGCCTAAGAGACTGCAGTGTCTCTAAACTGCAGAAGCAATGCTGGATTTTCTATGTAGAGGACATTGGTAATGGAATGATTAAGGGGACACTATCTGTATATTGAAGTGAGTAAAGATGGGGCAGAGAAACTGAATTTTGAATCTCAAAGCTGAGGATTATAATTCTTTATAGATGTTGAATTCTAGGACAGTGATTCACCAGGGCATAGGACAATGACTGCTTCTTACTAATTTAGTATCAAAAAACTTAAGCCAAATAAAATAATACTGAATGACACTGGATATCTTACTGCTTTTCTTTTTTTAAACACATACTAGGTTTGAAGACCTAGTGGTAGTAATCTACCTTGATGTGCGTATTACTAAAGGTTTCCTGTACACTTCTCTCCATTTGCTTTGTCTTTTTGTAGAATCTTTCTTTTTTTTTTTTTGAGACAGGATCTCACTCTGTTGCCCAGGCTGGAGTGCAGTAATGTGATCTCACGGCAGCCTCTGCCTCAAGCAATCCTCCCACCTCAGCCTCTAGAGTAGCTGGGACTAGGCATGCACCACTGAGCTCAGCTAATTTTTAAATTTTGTGTAGAGATAAGGTCATACTATACTGCCCAGGCCGGTCTTGAACTCCTGGGGTCAAGCAACCCTCTTCCTGCCTCAGCCTCCCAAAGTTCTGGGTATGTCAGTGAGCCAGTGTGCCCGGCCTTTTTGTAGAATCTTTTTTTTTTTTTTTAGGTGGAGTCTGGCTCTCTTGCCCAGGCTGGAGTGCTGTGGCGCAATCTTGGTTCACCGCAGCCTCTGTTTCCCCGGTTCAAGCGATTCTCCTGCCTCAGCCTCCCGAGTAGTTGTGATTACAGGCACCTACCACCACACACAGTTAATTTTTGTATTTTTAATAGAGACCATGTTGGCCAGGCTGGTCTTGAACTCCTGACCCAGGTGATCTGCTCATCTTGGCCGCCTAAAGTGCTGGGATTACAGGTGTGAGCCACTGTGCCCGGCCTTTATGTAGAATCTTGATCCATTTTT